TTCAACTCTCCAAGTTTTTTTGGTTAACCACTGCTGTGGCCTGGTATTGAACTCACAACTCTTTGGGTCTAGTCACTGGATTTAGCCAACGCCTTTATCCACTGGGCCATGTGTCCTTGAGGACATGGCACGTGGGACTAGAACAATCTACCCCGCTGGATGAAATTAAGTGTTCGGTTTGAAATTCCAATCAGCTGAAGAAGGCCGGAGCGTACAACAGCCAAAACGTTGTGAATATGGCACTGAAGATGAGGATAACAGTCCGGATAATGTAAATAATGTAAGTAATCATAATACCTCATCTCAGAAATATAGACAGATATCAATCAATCTATCAATCACTGAATCTATCGCGCGCGCTAAAGATACTAGAAAAATTTCTTTAGAATGTACCTGTCTCTTTCTGATGTGTTTTACCTTTACGAAGTCAGATTGAATTAAAAATGGACTGTTGCCTGCTAATCCCGCCTATTGGTCAGTTTTCACTGAGGAATGTTTATAATCAAGTTTGATGCAAAAAGGCGCAGATTTTGTGCGACTGTTTGATTTTTTTTTGTTTTTGTATAAAAATATTTCATTATTTTTTATTCTTTCTTTATCTTGGACATAGTCACTACGAGCTTGGTTTAAAGTTTACTGCTTCTTTGTAATGGAAAATATTATTTGATATGGTTTGAAATAAATGTTTAAATACATAGTGTTATCTTAGTTTTGTATATCTTTTCTTGGGTACCACACTTGGGCGATCATGTCTCTTTTTCAATTTATCATTGACTTGGCAGAAGAATTCACGCAGTAGGCTGTCGTTACTTTCTGTAGATTTTGTTAACGTTATAGAAACCAGTCTGGCATATTTAACGCATAGCTGGCGTGAGGAAGAGATGGATTAATACCTTTCCGAAAGTGTATAAGCAAACGTAACGAAAGGGATGTATTCACTTCAATGCATCAAATTTATTTAGATCAGTTTATTTTCTATTGATTTCAGTTTAAACGTTATTACAAATGGATACCCAAATTTGAGTAGATGTTCCCTTTATTTAAAAAAAAAAATTATTTCATATATTTGACTGAATATTCAAGAAATCTTATTAAAGAAAAAATTTATCTCCGGTTGCATTCATGATTTCAATTTAAACGTTATTTCTAGTGGATACCCATACTTGAGTAGACGATCCGTTTATTTTTAACAATATTTTATTATGACTACTTGTTTGAATATTACAAAATTCTTATTAATGAGAAACGCTCACTCTGGTTGGATTCGATTTCAACTGAGACGGATTTTCTAGTGTATACCCCATATTTCAGTAGACATTCTGTTTATTTTAAACAGTATTTTATTTCAGCTACTTGTCTGAATATTCGAGAAATCATAGTAAAGAAAAACGCACTCTCCGGTTGCATTCGATAATTTCAATTTAAATGTTATTTCTAGTGGGTAGCCATATTTGAGTAGACGTTCCGTTTATTTTAATTAGTATTTAATTTTATCTACTTCTCTGAATATCGGAGAAATCTTACCAAAGAAAACTTTCTCTCCAGTTGGGTTCGAAGATTTCAATTGAAACGTTATTTCCAGTGGATACGCATATTTCAGTAGACGTTCTGTTTATTTTAAACAGTATTTAATTTCATCTACTTCTCTGAATATTTGAGAAATATTTTTTAAGTAAAACGCTTTCCGACTGGATTCGATGATTTCAATTGAAACGGCCGACTGTCGTAGTTAAACATAGAATGATTTTTAAGTAACGTACAAGTGATAGCGACTCAGTCATAAGGTTCCATAATTCGCCAGTTTTGCAATTTAGTCATGGGAATAATGGTTAATGATATAACATCTTCATATCTTTTGAATATCATTTGATTTTCGCTTGTTCTAGGAATGTCTGCTGACATGTCACCTCTTTTTCTATTGAGCTTAACCGTGTGTGTGTGTATCTATGTGTGTATTTGCCTGGGTGGAATTACAATTGTATCTTACATCATCCTTTCCTCTTTTTTCTTTTCGTCATGATTTTAGTCTCTCATTTCTGTCAGTTGCTTCCGAATTAATTACCCCGCCGAGAAAAATTAATTACCCCGCCGAGAAAAATCAAGTGAATCATGGTTTTACGAAATCGGAGATATTTTTGCTGTTATTCCGATATTACAGATTTTGGAAATCATTAGTTTTTTGATTTATCGACCGGAAGTGTTGACATCAAACGCAACTGATTTTTTACGGTTTATCAAACCTTTGTCGGCTGTTTAAAGCCGAAACATATTTTGGATTGTAGGGATAAACTTTTTTTTTTTACGAATGAATATTGCATCAACGATATTTTGATAATAACAATATTTTTTTTCCAGATACAACTACTATTTAATCCATATCCGGGGGATAGATGCATACCTTTCCAAAGGGTATTTGCACGTAAGTGAATGTAATAAACACGACTGGAATCCGATATCACCCACACACCAAACGATAAAAAGTAAGAGAATTAAATGAAAATACGAGGAAAACAATTGTGTTTATTTTCTTTCTAACAAGAAACACAAGGCCAAAGTCGAATTCGTTCTACTGAGAATTTTTAGTTTTTTATTCAACACCAACAAAAGTACATTTTTTTTTTAGATATTCATACGGACCAGTTCCTTCATTTTTGTTGTCTTCATCACAGTCTTGTAGTTGCAGTAATCTTCCTGTAACCTTCTGGCAATATCAAACTAAACACTATATTTTTTTTCCACGAAGACACTTAATTCTTGCTTATATAACGGCATAACTGCTAAAATCAAACCCTCCAAGGCTTGTATTGTATTTTGTTGATGATATAAAGATTTTACCATTTCATTTCCAGCCTCCGTTTCTCATTCAGTAACCTTTTCTAGGTTACAAGAACCATGTCTGTTCTGCTACTTGACTAATAGCTGGAGTAGAAAGGAGACGGGTTCATGCCTTTAACAATGGTATTTGTGCAAACGTGATTGCAGCAGACTGGCCTGGAATTTGAACTTGGCCCGCTGATTCCATTTTTAGCACCTATATATGTTACACTACCTGCACATTTCAGAACCTGACCTGATCAATTTCATCCTTACAATATTCATCTAATCTTACACTAATTTGATGTATGTTTTTGTTGGTTGTTTTTCTTTAACGACATATCGACACATCTATGGGTTATTTAATGCAGAAACTTAAATATTTTGTATTTTTTTTAAAAATAGTACTGATTTTAGTGATACAAGTCTTACTAATTAACCCATAGAGAAAATCTGGATTCATACGTTTCCCAGCGTATTTATGAGGATTAGGACATACCCATCAGTGTTTATAGGCACGGTATATAACAGTACTCTAGCCTTGTGTGGCAGCCAATTGAAGAGGAGAAGGATAACTCTGAAGAGGTATGGGTTCCATCAGGCTATCCTACCATAGACATACCCACTGCTGCTACGGCTGCAGTATCCGTGGTGAATGTACGACACTAATAGGTTGTAAGGCTCGTGAAATTCTGAAATTCCCTAGTAGGGACACCAAATGTGGACGCCAAAAATATTAACAAAGATATACACCAGATCTTTGGAGAGATTATTATAAAGTAGTATACCGGATGTGGCAGCTAAAGGAATACCTCTGTGGATCAAATAAAAGGGTTAATTTTGACAGTCTCGTTTGTCAAATGTGACAGATATTCAGCGAAGGTCACTGGGTGCATCATTGGAAACTTTATCACAAAAATTAATCCGAATTAAGCAATATATAATCATATCAATGCCTCGTTTAATACATTTAAGCAGATCTAGGCCGGGGGAAAGTGGGGCTTATAGCCAAAATTTTGTAAACAATACGGACAAATGGTAATAATAATGGTAATATTAACCGTTTCCCTATAAGGAAATATTCAGCATTCACTGGCAGAGCAGACAGGGTTACTTTCGGTTAAAATTTATAAAATCTTTGTATTAAAAATGTTTTTCAGGAAACCAGATTTCTCAAGTCCAGTAGCTGTTATCTCTCCTTCTAATATTGATGGCGAGCTGGATCTTTCTTAATCTTCTGTTTGCTGTAGTGTGAAAAATCAACATCTTGATTATATCATTAATTTCACTTCAAGTTACATGTGCTATCGATTGTAGGTTGTTACTGTTGTTGAAAGTCCTCAAGTGATGTGGTTTCTGTTATTTGGTACAGCTCTTTGTCTGGGGTTATGTAGCGTCAGTATTCGAGTTTAGAAGTTCAAAGACTAACCAACAGTCCATAATATTAATATAATTTTATCTTCCATTGTAATCATTCGATGAAGTAATGTTAATCATTATCATTTTTAAGGAGTATTTCTTTCATCTTAATGTTATTGCTTTATTTATGCTAATAGTATGAGTAGTAATATCATCATGAATTTTATTATTAGATGAAACATTGTTAATTATAATTCATTTTTGGCTGGTATCTTTTTCAACCGAATTTCACAAGTTTTAAAATGAATTGTAATATTTTACAGTGTAATCAAGTAATACTAATAATTATAACTTTTTACTTATTCACCTACTGCAAGAAATGTTTCGCTTATAAGTGTGTTATATACCGTACCTATAAACAGTAATGGATATGTCCTAATAACCTCACAAATACATTGGACACTATTGTAATTGGGGGTGATATACTGTCCAAGTAGTCCACCACTAGCAGTGGTTTACCTACTTCACACTGCTGGCGAGTATTGTATTTTGTTGATGTTATAAAGATTACCATTTTATTTCCAACCTCCATTTTGATTATTCCTCATTCAATAACCTTTTCTAGGTTACAACAGAACGCAGGATATATTAATTTTATTGCTTTATTTATAATAATAGTATGAGTAGTAATATCATCATGAATTTTAGTATTAGATGAAGCATTGTTAACTATAATTCATTTTTGGTTCAATGACTAATCAGAAATAGTATATAATATTGATAAAACAGTGTTTACGAAAATCAAGGCATAAGCAAAAAGCAAAGTGTTATTTGTTTTTATACTGCTCTCGACAAATGACGTACAATTTGGTGCCGTACGTTGTGAAAACGAAGCTATACTGAATGACGAGGGTCACCGTGAGAATTAAGATGTCTTTTTCCCGTGGCCCGGGCAGAAGAAAACTGAAAGGGAAGCATGTACATTCGATCAGAAGTATAAGGTAAGTTAGACAATAAACGAACCTGTCGTGGATGTAAAACAATGAAACGTTGACGTTGTTCGTACTGTCGGATATGTTTTTCTTCTGGTTCGTCAGGATCAGTGTCAAGACGAGAGGCAGAAAGTGAAAGACAGGCAACGCTTCAATAACAGGCAACCTACCGAAAGTGCAAAACAGATAGTTAGACGTATTTGTCAGCTTGATGTGCCTCACATCGATCATGGAGTCACGTTCGATGATGACGAGCGGCAAGCTAGAGAGAAATAACGCCGTAGAGAACAAAGCATGATGGGAAAATGTTAGGGCCCACTGACAAGAGCTTTTCCCTTCCGAATTTAACTCTTTTTCTCCTTTAACTGGAGCTTTCATTTCTTCTTCGATGTTTGACTTCTTTTTAGCAACTGTTGGCTCGGCTTTATCTGACTTAAGACGCACTTGACCCCTGTTTATTTGTTCTTGCCATCCCACCGTAACCTTTTCTTTCCCCCTCTTCCCAACATCTACGCCCCTTTTCCATTCATTGCTTTCACTTCCTCTTTCTTGTTTTCTCTTCTTCGCAAAATTTATCCGCATACTCCGCGTCCAGGTTTTTCTTATCATCTTCTGTCGTCTTCTTGAAAGCCGTGCCAAAATTAAACATATTCGAACCAGCAGGTGGCGCACCTTTCCGCAACTACAGAACAGAAAGCAGGCGTGTGTATTAAGGAAGATTAAGAAATAAACATTTCTCAAATAGCATGCTGATGATGAAGTCCGTTGCAAGAAAATCAGTGGCTGAAGGAAACCTAAAGCTGTTATAACGAAGGAAAGATTCTGGTAAGGCATGGCAATATATTGCTTGTCGTTTTTCCAGCGTCGTAAAATGACAAACAAAGCAAAGCCTAACATCTCACCAAAACTGCAAACTGCCAGAAGAGCGATTCCGATTGGCTGACTGTAATGTAAGAAGATCTGCGTGTCGGCCACGCATTGGTTACGATTTTGGTTTGGATGATCGGTAATTGGACATTTGATACACAAATGTGACATGTTAGGGTTGGTTATGTGGCCTGGGGGACACGCTTCGCAATGCCAACAACATCTGTGAGGACCTGGATTTGTTTTGTATCCTCCTGCACACGGCTCGGAACATCTTGACTGCGGAACCTGACCTGATATGCATTTAAGGAGAGAAGAAAAAAGGTGAATGAAAAGAAATGAATTGCAAGAAAAGGGTAGAGGTAGAATTGTTTTTAAAGAAGAATTTAGCCAAAGTTTCAGATATAACCGAGATGTAATTATATTATATATTAAGATCAAATCAAAACGATCCAAAAGCGGAATCGTTCTTTTATTATGAAATACACGATTCTACTGAAAGGTGACGTAAATTCATAACAAACCACAGAAAGTAATTTGGCAACTGAATAAAGATGTTTTCAATTTATATGGATAAATTGATTCATCAAATCAAAACTGGAATTGTTCTTTTATGAAAGAATACACACTTCAACTGAAACATAACGTAAGATCATATAAAGCCATGAAAAGTAATTTGATGACTGGATAATGATCCTTTGAATTCACAAGAATAAAATGATTATTTAAATCAAAACCGGAATCCTTTTTTTTATGATGGAATACACATTTCAGCTGAAAAATGTTGTCAGATCATATGAAGCCAAAGAAATTATTTTAATAACTGGATAATGATTGTTCAATTGATATGAATAAATTGATTCATCAAATCAAAACTGGAATCGTTCTTTTATGATAGAATACACACGTCCACGTAAGTTCATAACAAACCAGAAAAAGTAATACGACGACTGAACAATAGGGATACGAATTTATATGAATAAATGATTTTATTGCTAGAAACTTTTGCATCAGCCTCATATGATAGAATATGCAATTTAGTTGAGAGGTGCCGTTAGGTAATATAAAAACAAGGAATCACTTTAATGGCCGAATAATGATATAAATTTATATGAATAAAAGATTTTATGAAAAAATGCGGAAAACTAATAAAATTATTATATTACCGCCTTTTGTATGAAGAGGAGGTCTTAAATCCTAAATAAAAAATATAATAATGATGATTACACATCAGGTTCATTCCTTGCATTGAATTCTACACTCTTACGCATTTATTCAAATGAGGAAGAAATGACTTCAGATAAAATGTCATTCTTTCTCATATGAAGACCAAGAGAGAGCTCTTATTTTTTTACTAATAAAATTCATGATAACTTATGAAAATTTTAACTCCCTACCATTAATGTCAATTCTTGTACCAAACATAAAAACCTAGATTAGTAAGACTAGAAAAGGAAAAGGGAACAAGTGTTTCTCTTCTCTTGGAGCTAAAAATAGGCACAAATAACAAAACCAAGAGTCAACCATTGCGTAAAATTTTAAAGGAAAAACATTTATGAAACAAGTAGAGACAAAAAAGGTACAAATACAAAATTAAAAAAAAAAAAAAAAAAAAATTCCTTTCGTGCGCCGATTAAGGCAGGATAACAGATTTCTGATGTTTCGAAAAAGTATTACGATCGAAAAATGGAAAAAAAGGTTACAGTTTTGAAAAAAAACAAGGATTCAATGATAAAAAGAGAAAGTAATTCAAGATGGCAGAAAGTTGCATCCACCTTTCAGAAAAAAACAAAAACGCTGACTTTCATTTGCCCCACGAGCGTCGCAGGGTCATATAGTAATTTTAGAAAAGTCTTTTTTAAATTCACACTGCTGATGCTTGAGACAATGTCTTTGAATTCTTTATTCTTTGTTATCCAATCGCAGGTGAATTCTCACTCGTGAACTTCTTTCAAATTCTTTAGTCTCTCTGCAGTTGACTTGTAACCTTATGCCTTCTTGATGGTCTCATCTTGATGTCAAATACCTTCTGCTCCTTCATGTTAATGCCCCCTTGCTGTCAAAAGTCTTTTCACTTCGTCCACTGACCTGAGATCTATTTATTCAGAAAAATAGGCTCACAGAAGTGCCCTATTCGGATTCTTACTATGGCTTGTGACTACGTCCCTCATTGGTCAATATATACGAAAAATAATTGTCCATAATCTTGAAATGGATTTTTATTAATTAAGTTTTTAACCGCTGAGCATGAAAAGATATACTAATGTAACATTTTTTTTCCACAGTCTGACATTTATAAAAATACACTTGTCTAAAAATAAGGTGTACAAAAAAAAAAAACAAAAACAAAAAAAACAAACAAACAAAAAAAAACAAAAACAAAAACAAACACACAAAAAAAAACGTTGACAATTAAACATTTATTCAAGGCTAACATTTTTAAAGTAGTAAAAATAAAATTTGTATAACCAACAACATATAATTATGGATGACATTTGGATGTTTCATTCATAAAAAAAAGCTTTACTTAGTTTAAGATGTGCAGGTATGGAAAGTAAAATCGGCGAACCGGGTTCAAGTTTCATTCGAGTGAGACGTTCACTTTTTTGCAAATATCCTTAAGAAAGACATGAACCCACCTTTTCCCCCTTTCTCCAAACAAGTATAGATTAACAGGGCAGGTTGAGCTCCCTGGCCTGTCTAGGAGAAGAAGAACTCTGAATTTCAAAACCGTGGAAGAAAACAAAGGAAAACCACTCTCCTATATTTCTCAAAAGGACATCGTAATTCACAGATAATAAAGAAAAAGAAATCTGTCGGGAGCCGTAATTACCAACTTCATGAAGAGACTTGGCGTTAAAAAATATTAAAAATACTACAATGGGAAACCAATTCACTATCATTCTCAAGAAGACAGCAATTCATGGAAAATAAAGAAAAGGAATCCGTGGAGAGCTATGATCGTATACATCCTAAAGGGATATAGTACTATAAAAAGAAAATGCTACAACTGGAAACCACTCACCTATATTCCCATTAAGTCGTTGTAATTCACAGATTATAAAGAAAAGGAATCTGTGGAAAGCCGTGATCAACTACCTTCTGAAGAGAAATGGTGTCAGAAAAAAATAAAATACGAATCATCTATTATTTTAATTTATACATACTCGAGTTCTGTCCATTCAGTAGATATTCAAGCATTTTGAAATTTCTTGACAAGCGGAAGTACCGAAACATGGGCAACTTAGGTTTTTGGGACCCATTTTAAAGACTTCATATTTGTGTATTCGTATACAAAGAAAAGAGTACTGTTATGTAATATCAGTATTCCAATATGGCAGTGAATGCTGGACAATCTCCTCACAGATGAAGAAGACACTTGAAGCAACAGAAATGTGGTTCTACAGAAGGATACTGAGAATACCATCGACGGGACATGTGAGCAACGACGAAGTTTTAGAGAAAATGGAAAGAAGAACACTTATACTTAACGTCAGGAAAAGACAGTTGAAATCATTCTGACATATAATGAGGAAAGAAACCAGGTATTGAACTCACAACTCTTTGGGTCCTGTCACTGGATCTAACCAATGCCTTTATCCACTGAGCCACGTGTCCTTAAGGCAGTGGAGGACTTGGAGAGGGGGATTAACTGGAGATAACTGATAACTGACATCCATTAGACATGGCACGTGGAACTAGAACAGACTACCCCAGCGAGCGAAATAAAGGGTTCAGTTTGACATTCCAAGCAGCTGAAGAAGGCCGGAACGTACAACGGCCGAAACGTTGTGATAAATATGGCAACAAATATGAGGATGATAGTCCGAACAATGTAAATAGTGTATTCTAATATTAGTTCAACAAACTGGCTTTACTAACGCTAGTTAAGTACTGTAGAATAGGATATACTTTTACTCTAACCAATAATTGCATAAAGGATTTAAAATGTCAAAACTTACGTTAAAAACCGACCCCCGTCTCTACGAAAGTTGTACAAATGAATCGTCACCTCAAAAGACGACTCCAGTATTCCATTAGGGCCGTAGGAGTGCCACATTAACTGCCACCATAGAGCAAGGTAGCCTGATGGATCCCATCCTTCTTCTCGCTGGATTGGAATTTAGCGTCTTCCATTCCACGAAACTAGTTGCCAGCTCAAGGCAAGAGAGCCCAGTCTACCCTTCTATATAACCCTTAACTAGACGGTGGATTCATTTTTCCAAGGGCATTCACACGAAGTAAAGTGATTGAACTCGATTCGCCGCTTTTGAATTTCCGCGGCAATAGCCATTACAGAATCCGCGCATCTATACAGGCAATTACTTGATTAGAAATCTACCATCGACTAATACACGAATCTATGCGACATCTCATAAGAATATATTTCTTTCGAAGGATCTGAATGTTGTAAGAAAAAACATTCAGTAAAAACAACGTACCTGTGTTCCATTGTATCGAGGATTTGCATAGAACCAATGTCTTGCTGCTCTTGTTCAGCTTTGAAAGATCTTTAGCCCAGCTGCCCACTTGAATAAATTTCAGTCGTCCATTGTTGTCGACAGACTGGAGATTTACAACTGTGTAGTTCACCACAGAAGGGCCAGCATAATTGGTGTACGAAACAGCACGAGACGAGGAATCTATGAAATTCATTGATTTTATACTGTTTAATATGGCGGCGTAATCAAACGTCTTTTTCGTTGAGCCGGAAACTAAATCATCCAACGCCTGCGCCACTGTGCGAATTGCGTTTTCAGCGAAACTCCATATATACATCATGGCCGGCGGGAAAAGGCTTTGAAAACACCAATTCTTTATCTGGGATTTTTCACGCAGAAAACGTAAAGAACAATTCTGTTGACTGATGTTGTGGTATTGACAGAGAAACGGGATCAACCAGATGTTAATTTTTGTGTATGGAGACCGGCACAAGCGTTTGTTTATCCCAGAGAATTTAGAGACCAATTTCACTCCAAGACTACCCAGTACGACTTGAGGTGGGAAATTTAATATAGCGTCGCTTTCAGCCCAAGCTTCGCTTGCAATCCATGTGATTCCTGGAGAATAGAAAATACAACAAAAGGAAACGTTAAGTATTATATATGAGGTGCAATCAAAACGTTGTAGGAATGGGATCATGAATAAATAGTTACCAGCCCTTGCATCTAGTTTCCACCGTCTTCTTCGAATTATTGCTCTCAAATATTCCACAAAGGTTATTGCTCACAAAGAGTAGCGACAATTCTATTTGCACGCTGTTCAAAATTCTTAAAACTTTATGCCGTATCCCTCTCTCTGTCTGTCTGTCTGTCTCTCTCTCTCACACACATTGATCATAATAAACACCTTAGATTAATAATTTACTATAAAAGTTTAAAACAACTAACCTAATCCTGACCTATAACTGGAAACCTCAAGATCCACCCCCGCACCAAAGATGTTACTTATCCCGAGTACTTTTCCAATAGCAATATTCACAAAACAACATTAGATTCTTACATTTGTCACATAATAATCGAAATATATAGTCAGCGTTCCGATCATAAAATTCGGTTTCGAATCTCACCACGGCCTATTTGTCAGGGGCGGTGACTTCTTAATGAGGGTAGTGCCTGAAAAAAACATACCACGGATTGACCCAAGTCTTGTGAATGAAGTTGGGCAGACGACACTATTCGAAAGTCGCCAATAATTGTAATAGCACGAAGTCAGAAATCATCGTGGCTGAGAGTTTAAGTGTATTAACCTTGTACAAAATTATTAATTACGTCAGATTGTTTAGTCTCTCCTCGTAACTGTAACTATGGTCTACTCAGTATAATTTATTTTAATCAATTCACCCCAAGCAAGGCACAAAGCCTCTACGCAGCAGGGGGTTACTAAGTTTGAAAATATAAAAGAAAACTGTAAATGCTATGAATGTTCTTGAGAAAGCTAATGAAATAGATTCGTGTTGCATTCTCTATAGGTTTGAATTTAGAATTTATTCTTGAATGACTATTCAAAACTATACGTTGGTTGATAGATTAGCGATCAACCAAAGGTAGAAAGTTAAGTCTACCCCGCTATTTAATCCATAGAGAGAGAGAGAGCGTTGGTAGAGATGCATTTTTGACTTTTCCGAGACTGTAAGTGCGAAGTGAAGACTAAAAGGAACGTGGCGCCATTAATCGAATGTTTATCTACACGTCTGCTTAGCAAGAAGGCCATATTGAAAACTTGCTTGTAATTTACCTGTAATGTTTTGTCTTTCAACCTCTTCAAATAAACGTTTAACATCATCTAGGTACATAAAAACGATAACAACCGTGAGACGCTTGTCTTTCTTAATCTGTTCTACGGCTTTTCGTATTGACGTATTATTACTGGTATCTCCAGTTGGGATTAAGATATTACGACTGTGAAGACAGATCGTTCTCTGAGCGGCTTCTTTCTCCAGCATAGCCAAACCTGTAAAGATAGAAAGAAGGAAAAGACATTGTATTTCTGGCTATAGTTTAACGATATTACCGTTACGTTACGTCATGGGTCCCGTGACTCATTTGGGTGTACTACAGCCATAATATCAGTGGTGTATCTGGGGTTCAACTGGCAAGGTAGGTGTAACACTTTCTTGCTGTTACTACTGCCCGTACAGTAAGGTAATTATGGGAAAGTGGTTTACCTAGCTGCTCACAGATTCTTCTGCATCAGCCATCTTTCATTGAAGAGACCATTTCATCAAGCTATCCATCGCTTATTGATAATTTCTATGGTATATCCTTAGAGCGTCATCAATGTTAAACTGGCTTTCATGGCTACAAGACTATTTTCTTATTGCACTATCATATAATTTAAAACTACTCATGTATTGCGATTAAAATAACAAAATACGATGAAAAAGGAACTAATCTAAAATTAGATGGAAATAACAAAAAATATTGAACATAATTTAATCTGTGGTCAAGTCAAGTCGTAAGTGTATGTGGCATAGGGTACCACATGTATTGCATACGTAGCATTAGTGGTATATCTAGGGTATATTAGCCAAACGGAGCCTATACCTCTTCAGGCTGGTTTTTGAATTCAGTGTTATGTTTCTAGACTGAAGAGAAACCAGTCACTCTTGTTATTAAACCCATAGTTGGAGGAGAAGAGATTCTTTATATTTCTCCCAAGGGTATTTACTCGAAAGTGGCTGTAACGAACTCGGGTGGAATCCGAACTTGTGTTAAATAATAGTTTAGAAGATTATTATTTTTTTTAGAGAAGCGTATCGCTGTTCCGACTTCCTGATGTTGACCTTTGGGGTCAGATACAAGACAAAACAAAAAAAGTCGATTTTGATTGGCTGAGCCAGTATGAGAACGATGTCTAGAAAAGGGTTTTCAGTGAGTTGTTTGTTAGCCGTTAAACAATGTAGACATGTTTCTGTCGTGTCTGAAACGGCTTTCCAGTGAGGAGAGAGCGACCACACTGGCTACTTAGAAGATGTATACATCGGCGTTAATAAAATAGCTAAGTTAAAATTTCCTGTGTTGAAGTTCCTTGATCTGTGAACCAAACCAATTCGCGATCACCGGCCGTGAAAGAAGAAGGCAACGTTATTATTAATGAATTGAAACCGTTGCCCCAAGACGATACACAAAGGGGATATGCAACATTTGATTCTCGGCTTCTATTTTCTAGTCGCCACCGTATTCATTAGATAAATTTGGAAAAGATTAAATTGTTTTCTTTTATCCGGCGATAACAGCGATACATAGAAGAAGAAGAAAAAGAAAACTGACAACTTACCTTCAATTCCATAATAAGAAGTAGAAACTAGAGCAAGAACATAACTCCATTTGAACTCATCGATAAGGTCCATAATTGCTTTTGCCTGGTATTTATCTGACGGAAGCAAACTGATTAAGAACGGAAAAGCGTTATTATTTCTCAGGTGCTCACTCGTAGCCATGTAGCTGATAATAGGGATTTCAATAGATCTCAGTACCGTAGCTATCCGGTTACCTGTATCACTTGTGGTACCTCCAACAACGGCGATTACAGGTTTGGCGAAGAGCCCTTGTTGATTGTTCCAGTGATCATTGGAATGTGTTGGGTTGCACTTGGAATTCTCTCGATGTCTTGTCTTGTGCGTCTTTTCATTTCGGATGATTCGGCTCATCAGTGACATTGCAATTTCGGTAGCACGCTGTTTGGAGCCGTAATCGTCACGAATGACATAACCAAGCGTAATGTTGGGAAGCAAGCCCCGGTCGCTGTTAATGTCTTCGATTGTAGAAATAATGGCTTCCACGGCCAGCACATTTTTCATACTGAAAGGTTTCTCGCTTTCTTTCCAATCACCATCATGGACAGATAAAATGAAGTCAATTATATAATCACCATCTTTACAGATAGTCATTTCGCGCCCACAAGTAACCAAATAACAAAAGAAAAATGAAATTAATACGTACGTATTAATGAGCCCCATAACTGTTTATATACACAATAACAATCACAAACACAAATACACGTACAAACTCACACACATAAACACAGGCATATATATATATATATGTGTGTGTGTGTGTATGTGTGTGTGTGTGTATATATATATATATATATATATATCGTAAATTTATGCGTATAAGATGACCTTCAGATAAGACGAGGTAAAAAAAATATAGCAAATTTTCATGAATTTATCCTATACCTGTAGTATAAGACGACTGCTTATGGATTATATAAAGATGATGTTATTGGAAATGATGTTACTGTATCCTTAGAAATACAAAATAAATGAAATAACAACACTCTAGAAACGGCTACACTCTTTAGAAACAGTCAGAAATGCGATATTCATAAGCAACGGTCTACAAATCTGACTAAATCTTAACCATCTTCACGACTGCATTGCACATACCCCACCAAAAAAAGGACCCAAAACAACTAGAAAAATAAGGAAAATGTATAGGGAATACATACACAAATATATATTAATAACAACACCTAGTGAGCAGAATGTTGTCAATAAGATTGCTCAGGACATATCTAGAGCAATAATTATCAAATGTTATCAAATACAGTTTTTTACTCTATCAGTTATTATTATCCTATTAGAATAGCACTTGCCCTACACTTTCGTTAGTTAGCACGACCGTTACACCCTGCCAATACCACATAAATAAGGGTTTGTTCTGTTTTGATCACGTGGAAAAAGGAAAAAAAAACACTAGTAAATTTCACTGGAGAAAGAGAGATTAAGTGGATAAGAACAGGTACTACACATTGAACTTAACCAAAAAAGCTGTGAAACGATGGCGACCGCGATAAAAGCAACATTTTTAAAACGCGCAGTATCGAACGACGGAAAGTAAGACAATCGCCAAAAATTCACTTAAAATAAATAAAATATAATCGCTGTTGAATTATCTTTGAATTATTATTAAGAGATATTCTTCATAAGACGAGGATCTGCCTACTTATTATTATTATTATACGTGCGTGTATATATATATATATATATATATATATATATATATATATATATATATATATATATATATACACTATTAATAATAAATATCCATGTTTTTCCTCAGCGTTTGGTCTAACTACGAGTTTCATGCAACGCAGCAATGTTTACTAATTAAAAATTGAATCTTGTAAAATTTAAGTATTAATATTAAAAAATATATAATAAAAAAATAAAAAAAATATATATATCTGTGTGTGTGTGTGTAACAATATTAACTCTCCTTTTATATTTAAGGTGTTGCAGATATTTTCTAAATTCAGAGAAGTGTCTCGGAAGGTTATATGTCTCTTGCACGTCGTGTGAATTGACTTCACTTATTATGGTCTGTCTGACTATTTTGCTAATCACGTCTCCAAGACGATGTGACCTAATTACTTTACTATAATCGGAAGTATGAGGTACCACGTGAGTGTCAAACTTACTACATTATTGGTTTTTCAGATGAGTAAACTAATTGCTACTCTACGGTGAGTCGGCCAATTGATAAGCTTCTCTTGGTCAGGTGTTTTGGGTACCCAGTGAGGATCGACTTCACTATAGGAATAAGGCACTACAAGATAAACTTGCTAATCGTTGTTCCACGCCGAAGCGGCCTACAATTGAAATGTCATAATCGCTGGATGTCATATATTAAGGAATGATGTCCATGACGTAATCCTTTTTTAATTTGCCATTTTGATCTGTAAAGAGAAAGAAAAAAAAGTTCAGTGCCTAAAGAAATAGAAATCTGTCATATAGGAAGAAAATGAGTAACTACCTACACCGAGGTTCGAACGTGACACTCTGGACTTGTGAATATACTAGCAGCATAACTCGTCTTTGACTGGGTTTTTCATTACTGGGAATTTTTGCCGTTCAGCTGGAGCAGTTTAAGTTTAAAGTCAGCCCACTTGAAAATCAATATTCGTAACAACATTCGGGTGCAACTGACGCACACCCACCAAATGGGGGGTTAACAATTTGCACGGGGGGGCCTTGAAAAGGGGACTGTATAATAATAAATAATATTATTGTAATAATTTAGACTATTGATTTTTATTAAAGTTTTTATGAAAGATATATATCCATGAACAGATAGTAAATAGTAAAACGTTGCTGAGAGTTATAATAAACAGGAAGTAGTGGAGAGCCATTGTTGCCAACAATTTAGACTCAAAACCGGCACTGAAGAATTATCTATCAAACAAAAAAAAATTCATCGAAATCGTATGAAAATTGTGGAAATGCATTAACAACATCCGATCAAAAGCACACATACATATACACACACATCTTGAGAATTATAGATGTTTTCCGTCAGATGTCTAAATAGCGATGTCAGGCTACTGACTGGAGTGATTATTGAGTGACTATTGAGTGGAACTATCCAGTCGAATTAGTGTGAATTATTGTGCGGCAATGATTTGGGTTTTGATTTAAGATTTACTAGACGTTAAGCCAAGCCACGCTATTAAAAAGGTATTCACTTAAATGCTTAATTATTTTTGGTTGACTTTTACTTCTTTGTTCTTGTTAAGTATTTAATTGCGGTTGTAATTTATACTCTTTTATTTTAACATTGAAGTCTTGAGTTATACTTAATTATTAACGGCCACCATACGTCACAGAAAATCATTTTTGTTACTCGCTACAAAACCTTTGCTTTATCTGACACTAGACCTCATTTGTTTAATATTTTTACGCTATTATTAACCAAATAAAAGGTTCAAGATCCAGTCAAAGTAAAAGGTTACTGAATAGAGTTTCTTATGGATGAGAGATTTGTAGATTATGAAGATATGTCGAATAGATAACGGTTGACCCTAGACTTAAAGAGATTAAGATTATAGTAATCGGGGAATCATCCTCTCGGGAGTCTGATTCACAAAGTTGCGACTCTTGAGAAGAACTGTTCGAATGGTACTTCCTTCTTACCAATGGAATGAAAATGGTTCGTTCCTGTGTAGATGACAAAAACTCTAAAGTATCTGCGACTAGTGATCAAGTTAAACATTAATTTCATTGATAAAACAGGAGCCACTGCTTTCAGTGTGATTTGAATGTAAACCACAAGGCCAAAGCAGTGGAGCGCCCAGTGAGACTTAGTAGTAAAAATCTTCAAGAACATTAATATTGATGACTCATTTGAAAAGGACATCTCTGAATAAGTTTTTCATAAATATTTGGGAACAAACACAAAATTGGGTTGAAAAAAAAATTCCTACCAATAATTGTGAGAAGAATCCAAATAAGAAAGTCTGCAAGACCATTTGCGAAGAATGGCATTCTTTTATCGTTCAGAATGAATTTCTTATTATTTTTGTTATATATTATATATGAAAAATTTCTCAGAGTCAACCTGTAGAAATATATATATATATGTATATATATATATATATATAAATGAAATGAGAACGAATCAAATATAAATTCAAACGTTCACAACATTAATTTAAAAATAGTGCACAATACAATAGTAGATCAATATTCTTTACTATAGGATATTACGTTCGAACATATGTAAAACCGCTACATAAATGCATATCATCACATCTCATCAGTGGAAAAGGAAGGCGAGAGAGAGAGAGAGAGAGAGAGAGAGAGAGAGGGAGAGAGAGAGAGAGAGAGGTATTGGGTGAAGATAGAACTGAGAGATTAGTGGTTGGTAGTAGTCGGTTTCCTCAACCAAGAATTTACTCTACACTTAGATTTTACTATTACGTTGCATGTTACTTTGGTCGACACCGTTTGCTGCTTGTATGCAGGATAAATCAGGTCGATTCAAATTAAATTAACTAAAGGAATCTTAATCTAAACCAAATTCGGTATTAATATTGCAAAACTTAAGCATTTGTTTTTAGGCCGAAGTCTGATAGTGTTTTTTTTTTTAGTAAGGATAGTATCATATATGGAAGTACACTCATGTGTGGATATGTAGACTTGGACATGTATACGTATGTGTGGAAGTGCATACGTGTAAATATTGCATGATATGGTTACTTTTTGCGAACTTCTTTACACATGGTGGCATCTAAGACTATTACATCTTAACCACATTTCCAAACAAATTTTATAGCATTCCCGTAATCCATAGTTTTTACCTTAAGTTTGGTATTTGTTTATGTCTATTCGCCTCTTAATTCTCTAAAGTTATTTTCTGTATCCACCTATTATATCTGACAATATTATATATATATATATATATATATATATATATTATTAATTTGATCCTAAAATACAATACTTATTATATTCAATGGGCCATAAGACATAGCAATATTAAAATTAAAAATCAAGGAATTAAATAAATATTATATGCACTATTATATATAATAAAATAATTGGCATATAATTGTAATACATACTATATTTTAATGGAAACATTATACAATGCCTACATATTACAGTTAGTTCATTCCTCTGATTTAAGAGATCCTTATTCTTAGGAAACTTAATAATAAAAATTTTATGTAGACACAAGGAACACGGGTCATTTAATGATTTACAAATTCTCGTTTTTTTAAAAAATATTTTCCATTTTACCTTGGAATTGATTAATTAATTAAATTTAATTAATTCCTTTTAAATACCAAAAATATTAAAAATATTTAGAGAAGGTTGTTCGGTTTCGGTACTCACTGTTGTTAAAAAAAGAAATATGTTGGTACCAGCTTCGTTTAAAAGAGTTTTTGTGCTTCCAATATAAATTTCTTAACGTCTGGGTTTTTAGTAGATAAAATGGTTCGTTGGTAAACAATAGATTCAGTAAGAAATTTATTTTGCATTGGACAATTTATGTGTGTGCGTAAGAGATTTATATATCAGAATAATTCAATGCGAAAAATCTCTACATCATCCCCTGTAAACTTGCGTTCAGCTTCTTACAACATTTCATTTTTTTTTAG